TCCAGGTGCCCGGTTGCCGCTCCCACGGAAGAACTCGCCGTTCAAGCTCTGGTCTAAGGCGAGTCGGCTGGCTGCGATATCGAGGCCCTTGAAGGACGTCGTCGACAAGTTGGCTGCGGATCCGGGAAGAGCGCATACAGTGCCTATCCAGGGCGAACTGGGGATAAACCTCCGCGTCGTAAGTGTCCAGATTCTGTGCGAGGCGACCCGGCTGCTCATCCTTTTCTCGGATCGTGTATCAGGAACTCTGTGGGGCGAGTGAGGTTTTGCAACGGAGTAGGGAAGCGGTCCTGAGGCGCAAGAGAATCTTGGATCGCCTCGGGAAGTCGCAAGCGGCATTCGAACATCTGGCTCAACTGGCGCTGCCTTTCTGTGAAGTGTGTCACCCTCAATTACAGTGATTTCGTTCAGCTCTTGAGTTGACCATCCCAAAAGTTGAATCCGATAACAAAAGCAATCTCTGGTGCACTAGGTGTCATATATACTGCGCGTCGATTGCCACCCCGCCTTCTCGTTCCTTTTCCGAGGGATGCAAACCCCGCAGAACCTCAAAGACCTGCAAGACTGGGACGCCAACCTAGTCCAGCTTATAGACGACATGACCCAAGCTCTCGCTTACGTCCAAGACCTGCGGGCGATGGAATCGACGGCCCATCTCAAGCAGACTCTGATCGAATTCGACCACTCGGTCCAAGACTGTGCGGCTCTCATCGCAGATCAGGCCAAAAACGGTGCGTCCTGAAATTTCACTGACCTTGTCGAGATGCGAACTGACTTTTTTCTGCTGTAAGGCTGGAAGGACGCGCTGACCGGCGCACATGTGACAGCGATGCAGGCTCTGTGCCGTCGCTTTGAGCGCTGGCGTGTTCAGTTTCACGTCAGTCTGCAGGTCGACATACGGTCCACGTTGAACGACATCACCGAACAACAAAAGAAGTTCTGTACGTACGATCCGCACACGCCAAAGTGACACACACATGCTGACGGAATGTGCATTGCATTGTGCTGCCAGTCGAGAGGGAGCGCTGGAAGATTCTCGACATGATCCGGCCCCCGGAAGGCACAGACGAGTGCCTCGTCTCCGGATGCATGGCAGGCACGCGCGAAGGTGTGCTCGCCCGCGTCGACGCCTGGGCCCGGCGCACCGACGAGAAGAACATCCTCTGGATCACGGGCCACCCCGGCTCCGGCAAGAGCTGCGTCGCGCGCTCCGTCGCCGACCGGCTCGACGCAGATCACTCTGGAGCGGCCGGCTGCTTCTTCTTCTCCCGTGGGACTAGCTGCAATCCCATCACGTGATGGGATTGCAGCTAGTCCCACGGGAGAAGAAGAAGCAGCCGGCCGCTCCAGAGTGATCTGCGTCGAGCCGGTCGGCGACGGAGCGCGCGACGCAGCTCTTGCCGGAGCCGGGGTGGCCCGTGATCCAGAGGATGTTCTTCTCGTCGGTGCGCCGGGCCCAGGCGTCGACGCGGGCGAGCACACCTTCGCGCGTGCCTGCCATGCATCCGGAGACGAGGCACTCGTCTGTGCCTTCCGGGGGCCGGATCATGTCGAGAATCTTCCAGCGCTCCCTCTCGACTGGCAGCACAATGCAATGCACATTCCGTCAGCATGTGTGTGTCACTTTGGCGTGTGCGGATCGTACGTACAGAACTTCTTTTGTTGTTCGGTGATGTCGTTCAACGTGGACCGTATGTCGACCTGCAGACTGACGTGAAACTGAACACGCCAGCGCTCAAAGCGACGGCACAGAGCCTGCATCGCTGTCACATGTGCGCCGGTCAGCGCGTCCTTCCAGCCTTACAGCAGAAAAAAGTCAGTTCGCATCTCGACAAGGTCAGTGAAATTTCAGGACGCACCGGTTTTGGCCTGATCTGCGATGAGAGCCGCACAGTCTTGGACCGAGTGGTCGAATTCGATCAGAGTCTGCTTGAGATGGGCCGTCGATTCCATCGCCCGCAGGTCTTGGACGTAAGCGAGAGCTTGGGTCATGTCGTCTATAAGCTGGACTAGGTTGGCGTCCCAGTCTTGCAGGTCTTTGAGGTTCTGCGGGGTTTGCATCCCTCGGAAAAGGAACGAGAAGGCGGGGTGGCAATCGACGCGCAGTATATATGACACCTAGTGCACCAGAGATTGCTTTTGTTATCGGATTCAACTTTTGGGATGGTCAACTCAAGAGCTGAACGAAATCACTGTAATTGAGGGTGACACACTTCACAGAAAGGCAGCGCCAGTTGAGCCAGATGTTCGAATGCCGCTTGCGACTTCCCGAGGCGATCCAAGATTCTCTTGCGCCTCAGGACCGCTTCCCTACTCCGTTGCAAAACCTCACTCGCCCCACAGAGTTCCTGATACACGATCCGAGAAAAGGATGAGCAGCCGGGTCGCCTCGCACAGAATCTGGACACTTACGACGCGGAGGTTTATCCCCAGTTCGCCCTGGATAGGCACTGTATGCGCTCTTCCCGGATCCGCAGCCAACTTGTCGACGACGTCCTTCAAGGGCCTCGATATCGCAGCCAGCCGACTCGCCTTAGACCAGAGCTTGAACGGCGAGTTCTTCCGTGGGAGCGGCAACCGGGCACCTGGAT